GCCCCCAGCTGCCACCCCGCGCCCATGCTTCCGGCTCCCGACGCCGGCGCCCGGGACCGCGCGCGGAGAACAGGAGCGAGGCGAGGCCGCCGCCACCCGGGGAGGGCCGGGCCTCCTGGACGAGTCCCCGCCCGCCTCGCGCCGCCGCCCGCCTGTGCGGCTCCGAGCTTCTGCTCAGTCCCGCCGATGGGGGTTCCTGAAGTCAGGACCGTGCTCATGAACTCGCTTCAGCACCTCGACCAAACCTGTTCTCAAACCCAGCTCGTTACTAAGCCGACAGCAACAGGGCCGCACCTTTTGATGCGGATTGATTTCGAACAAGTTTAAAAACCTTCAGCCACGAAATGAAGTCCAGATGGTGGAGATTTTGCCAGTCGTGGGGCGAGAATTTTAGGAACAAAAGGTTTTAATTAAGGTCTTCACGTCTTGCCGGAGAGGTACCGGCCAAGAGTGCCTTCACTACCAGCAGGCTTTTTAAAGCCCTCGTGGCCGACTCTGACCATTTCTCGACCATTTCTCAAAAATCCAGAAAAGCAGTAAAAGTATTGGGGAGAGGAGCAGTAATACCGGCTTAGCGCTAGACGCTTTTAACCTGCATTATTTTATTTAACTTCACAACAACCCTATGAGGCCAGTGAAATAAGCCAGCCACAAAAGGAAAAATACTTTATGATTCCACTTACAGGCAAATTAATAACAAGGTAGAATGGTAGTTACCAGGGACTTGGGGGGAGGGGTAAAGGGGGAAGGTTGTTTAATGGGTATAGAGTTTCAGTTTTTGCAACATGAGAAAGTTCTGGAGATGGGAGGCACAACAATGTGAATATATTAATGTTACTGAACTGTACACTTAAATATGGTTTAGATGGTAACATTTATGTGAATTTTACTGCAGTTAAAAATGACTTCTGGCAGTGAATACAAGTTCAAAAACTTTCCCCAGTCACGTCCAATACATTTTTTATACAGCAGTTAACACCAGATGAAATTATCTTCTGTTTACACATTTATTGCTAGTTTCTTGCTGCTAGAATATAAGCTCTACAAGGCCGGGGATTGTGACTAGTTTATTTACTGCTGTATCGCCGGCACCTATTACAGAGTTTGGCTTACACTAGTTGCTCAATTAAATAAATGCTGACTGAAGGAGCATGGCCAATCCTGCCACCTATGCTCTGGATTCTCTCCTATAACTTAGAAAATGGATGATCACTGTTCTCTTGTCTATTCAACATCTACTCAACTGGATTTTCCCCGCCAGTCTCCTCACATCACCCTTTAGGAGCCACTCTGTCCTCCTCTCCTTCAGAGCAAAACAGAAACCTAATGAAACCTGATCAGATTCACTGTCTTCATATTCTGCCCCTGCTCCTCAGTCCTTTCTACTTTAGTTCCTGCCTTCACTACCAGACTGATACAGTTCTTGCTAAGGTGACCAGTGACCTCCACATCACTAAACCCAAAGGACAGTTCCTGACCTACCTTGAACTCTCAGCAGTATCAGTGAGCACTGCCATCTCTTTTTCCTTTGGTTTTCTGAAAAAAACACAGGGTCTTCTTCCTGCCTCTCTAGTCATTCCCTCTGTTTCCTTTGCAAGCTCATCTTCCACTACATACCCACTGAACGACTGGAGCTCCACAACACTCAGTCCTAGGCTCCATTCTCAGTCCAGACGCTGGACAGGCAGTCTCATCCTGACTGTATGCTTTAATAAGCAGCAAAATAGGCAGAAGGCTCAAATCTCTAGCCTGGTCCTATCCTCTGGACTTCAGACGAGTAGTTCCAGCTGCTCTACTTGACAGTCATTTGGATGTCTCAACACAACCTAAACTGAGCCCATCACCTTCCACCCCACATGTCTGACTCTCTCCCTATCTCAGGTTACTTCCATTCATCCATTCCTGCAATCGCAAACCTCAAAATCATCCTTGATGCTTCCTTCTCCCCAAACTCCGTATCTAAGGCATCACCAACTCCTGTCCATTTTAGCAGCCAAGCATCTCTTGATCCCACACGTTTGAAGGACCAAGCTGTTCGCCATTTCTTGCCTCACTGCTTCACACTCACTAATGTGACCAGAGATCTCTAGGTCACTAAACTCGAAGGACATTTCCTGTCCTTACCTTACCAACTAGTGACCCTTTATATGAATGATTTAGTAGGCTGAGGGGTCTGGCCCCTACCTATCTCTTTAGCCCCTCCCCTGCCCCTATTAATCCTTCTCCCCATTATAATCTTGGATCTAGCTATACTTGCTTTTACTCCCTGGAACGCCCACGGTGCTTCCCATACAGTCTTTGTACACACTATTCCCACTGCCAGAAAACTTTTCCAGTCAATCTGCCCAATTAACTCCTGGTTTTTCACCATCATTAGCTATGTAATTTTGGGAAAATTTTACTTCTCTCTGTGTGATGACAGAGCCATTTTCACAGAGTTGTTGACAGGACTGAGGTGGTACATGTATGGTGCCCCCGACAGCGGCTGGCACTAAGGGCTTGTCATCAGCCTGATTATCACCTTCCTAAATAGGCTTTATTCCCTGTTACATATTTCACTACATTGCACATCTTTTTAAAAACATTTGTCATAATGTTTTTAGTTTTTATTCCTGTGATTTTTAAAAAATATCCTTTGCCCTAGCATAGTACCTTGCATGGGATAGGGTGTTCAATAAATATTTGAATGTTTTTAAAGGCTCCATCAAAATTCCTATTTATAAATGACTGAAGACATTGAATAGGTACAGATAGGTAACAGAATTTGATCTTATTATGAGGAAAACTGGCCTGAAATAAGTAATATGAAAATACCAATTCTTCTATTTGGTTTTTTTTTTTTCTTTTCCTTTTTGTCTTTTTTCATGTCCAGCAACGGATCGCAACCCTCGGTGTTGCGCCCGCACCTCGCTCAGCCAGTGAGCAGGAACCGGTCTGTATGTGGGATCCGAGCCCTCGGC